CAAAAAAAAAAAAAAAACGAGCTCGAGTTGGTGTATCAAGATGAGTTTTGTTTTGTACTAATGCAAAAAATCATTTTTTTTCCCTCACTTTCTTCTCTGACCTTATATATGATCTCAATGGGATATATGACTGCTGATTGTGAGAAGAGATAAATATATTTCCTTATTCCGTTAATGTTAAATATGTGAAGATATATACTTGGAGGCTACTGATCCTCTGTAACTATGTAGAGATTATTATTAAAAAATATGTAAAAATTGCCTAATGAATATAATTTGGAGTTTCGTAGTCTTATAAATTACATATGAAACGGTATATACATGGATTCATCTGAACGCTAGCAAATAAAATAACAAATTAGTTAGTGAAACCAAATCACTCTAACAATGTACAGGAGCCGTGAGTGAAAGTATATGATCAAGAACGCCCCCATGTTGAAATAATGGTGATTTCAGGGCCGGGTCAACATTACCATGGACCCTATGTCAAAAAATAATTGTTTTACTCTAAATTGTTTTTGGGTTTTTAACTATATAGAAAACAAATTTTTATGACCTTTTTGGTAAAAAGTTTGTTATTAAAACAAACACTAATACATATAAAAAATTAGGACACTTTTCAATCTTATATTCTACTTATATACTAAGATGCAGAGTTCTTTGTTTGTTAAAGTTTTCTAACTAAAACAGAGGAATCTATAATGTTGAACACAATAATCTTTTCTTTCCCCTTGTTAGATGTACACAAATAGTATTTCTGAAGATCCTTAACGTAATAAACATGTAGCTCTCGATAATTATCTTCCCGATCTTTAACTATTGTCTTTATTTTGTTAGATTTCTTGGTGCTTTCTCATTCGATCTCTAAATCCATGAATGCTTTGTAGTTAATAATATGGTTTTTTTTTATTCCCTAAATAATTTCTCTGTTTTCGTATGTTTTAATTTGAACGATACGATAACTGTAAAAATATTGACAAGTAACATACATAATTGTTGTATGTGACCTGGTTAGATGAGTTCGGAAACCATAGTTTAAAAACTTTTATTGCTAAATATAAGTTCCTGTTAAATAATAAAGAAACGTTTTTTATTCATTGGATAATGGATATGGGTATGCAAGTTTATTAGCAAGGATATTTCTTTTTTGACAACATATGAAAACGGAGGCCCAAAAAAAGCATTTAAAAAGGCCAAAAGAAACAGAGTAACTCTCGCTTTCCATTTTCTTTCTTTCTCGCTTTCCATTTTCTTTCTCTCTGTATCTCTCTCTCGCACCCGCACTAATTTTTGTTTCTTTCCCATAACAAAAATGGTGAAGAATGTTCAAAATCCTCTGGCGAGAAGCTTTTACTGTACAGAAAAGAAGAAATTGAACCACCACCAATTAATATTTTTAATGATTTTATGTATGGGATAGAGAGTGAAGTCTTGAGGATATTTCTAGGGAATGCCTATGAATCACTGCTAAGTCGAAGTAGAGAGATCGAATCCATGGCGAGTTTTGTCAGTTCAACGGAAGTCATCGTCCCAGAAGAAGAAACACGTTCTTTGGAGGAAGAGGTCATTAAGTTGATGAAACTTATGAATCTTGAGTCTCTTGGAAACAGAGAATCTCGTTTAACGGGTCTTGAGGATGATGGAAACTTGTGCGAAAGACTGTAAAACGCAGAGAAAGAAGAGTCGAACGCAATCAAGAATCAGATGTTAAAGAGATATTCAAAACTGCAGCCAGGAAGACTGAGTCTCGGTTCCAGGAGGCTTTGCAAGAAGAATCGTCATCCTCTTCAGTGAAATGGGGTTTTGCAGAGGCTAAAGATGAAGTAGTTTCTCTTGGGATCAGGTTAACTCATGCGCTCATCAAACTCACGTTATTGCGTGTTCATAAGAACGAGAGAGAGAAACAGTTGTGGCTAAGAAATTGGATCTTTGGGGAGTCTTACAAGAAACAATCTGCTTTAATGTACTTGTTGGACTATCTTCTGGACAAAAGTGGATGGAGAGCTGAACAAGTGTTGGGGTGAGTCTTTCTGGGAGTATGTTGCAGCAGCAAGACACTTGGAATCTGTGACCGAATTGTTTATACACTCTGTAAGCTTTTCGTTTTCGGGTTTGAATCGTAAGTTTCAGAGTGCTGCTTCTTTTTTGTTGGTTACGTGATCTACAAGGAAGATAGCAACTCATGTACTGACACATCACATTTTGGCACCTTTCTCTCTCTCTTTTTTTTTTTCACTAGAGACATAAGAACAGATCCTTGTAGTCATTATTTATTCATTCAGTTTTGTTGCATTGTTTTCGAACTCAAATGAAATCAAAGAGATGGATCCAAGCAGCTTTTATTTTTATACTGTTTTTGCATACTCCTTTACAAGACGAGAGTTTTGATATAAAACTTTCTTACATGCCTTCATTGCCATTGCAATTAAAATCTCAATGTTACGTTTAATAAATTGATTTAGGTCAATTTGGGAAAGTTACATTAGCACAATTACGTATCCTATATGCAAAATCTGAAAGTTGAAAACACATTTGCTTGCTAAATTTAACACGGATCCTATTATTAACTAAACTGTCTTTGGGCACCTACAAACTTTAAAATAACTCTAGGTGATCTTAAAATCAATTATAAAGTGTAATGTCCAAAACATTTCTTTGGGCATACTGTGAGTTGATTTTGTTTTGCTAGATATTTTGCAAAACCCCATCTTACTAAAAACCAAAATTTTCAACAAAACTGTCAGAATCAAAAAGACAATTCAAGTATGAAACTGATATAGTACTATCCAGACTGAAACTGAAACAAAATCTATAAGTCTGCAAAGAAATTATTAGTAGAGTTGAGCGTATTCGGTTTACTTTTTGTTTTCCTCTTGCTGCCTGTAAAGCCAATAAAAAACTCCAGATCAGATCATGTTGTAGGTATCATCTCAAGGAAATGTTTAAGATGTTCCAAAAAGTTTTGCAGGTCTCTCTTTACCTTTGGAAGACTTGTGAGAATCATTGTCAAGGTCCATCCCATCCTTGTCACTGTCACTGTCTCCTGCAGCTCCAGATGCATTCCCCGAGTTGCCATTAGAACCTTCTAGAATCTCTTCTAGGTTCCACAGCTTCATCACAAGAAAACAAACATGTAAATCATAACAGTAAGAGCTTGAGTTTAGAGAGAATATATGATACCTTCAGCATACTGTCATGAGCTGTGCTACCGAGAAATTTGTTATCATGCGAGAGAGCTATAAGAGAGATTTTTAACAGAAAAAAAAAATTAGAAATTCGTTCAGAACAAAGTACAATAGTCAACAAAGATAAAAGGTTCTTAGATATAGAGAAGGAAATTCTAAATACCGAGATCTTCGATAGGGTAGTCGTGTGCCCCAATTGGCTGTATGATTCTGTTGGGCAGTATTCCAACAAGGCTGGAGAAACATGTAAATAAAATTTGATTGAAATAAGTGAAGATAAACCAGTTAAGAACTTTCTTCCATGGAAGCGGAGTTTTTTTGTTACCTAAGTATTCCATTATCACACCCAGTGATAAGTCTGTCCTCATCGAGCTACAGGATAAATCCACAAGGCTTCCATTAGTCACTGGCACCCTAATGTTACAGTGTCAGTAACCATATGCTTAAAATAAGTGTATCATCTCACCTTCAATAGAGTATCAACTGAATTTGGAGCTAGATCAACAAACCGATCGCTGTAAATAGGAAAAAACATTTCAGCCAGTTAGGTGTCATTACATAGAATCTTTCAATACCTTAAACCTCTAACAAAGGTAGTGTTAGAGATGTATGACTTACCTGCAATCCTTGAAAAATCCCCATGAATACAACAAGAGAGTACCATTCTGAGTTCCACAAATAACTTTACGGCCATTCTGAAATCAATCAAATAAAAGCAAACGATAATAAATACATTAGATAAGTAGAAACAATGTGGAGAGAGAAGAGCTTGGGATGACACATCCTGGCTACAAATACTTTTCTGTTTGATAGATAAATTAGTGAACAAACACACAGAAATATAATGGAATTACCTTCATTATAACAACAGAAAGTAGTTCGTCTTCAGAAAATTCAGACTGAGATTGGACCTTACTTGTTCTGAGATTACAGACAGACAGGGTACCGTCTCCACTAAACAGAGTCAAAGAAACCAAAATAAGAAATAAGCGGAAAAGTCTTCTGTAAAACTCAAAAGACACTAGCTTCACTGAATCGGATGACTACAAAAATCCAAACCTTGTTGCCACTAGCTTCATTGAATCAGACGCAAAGGTCATGCCAGAAATGAATTCTCGTGATGGGGCCGTGTACGGGTGAAAGATT